TGTGTGTGTGTGTGTGTGTGTGTGTGAATCAGAAACCCAGGAGAGCAAGTATCTTATTTTACAAGTGAACACAGTTGCTAGTCAGGAAAAACTTTAAACTGCGTGTGTGTTTGTGCCTTTGTACAGCAGACAGGAAGTGCAGATGGAGGCAGTCTGTACATTATCCTCACCAACTCACCCGTATAGTGCAGCAGAAAATAAAAGGCAGACCTCTAACATTTTCTTTTATAAGAGCACAGAGACGTGTGTTGGTGTGATGAGATTGTTGAACTCTGTACCATGACCCTGAAACACTTACCACTGCTGATGTAGCAGAAAAGTGATGATGATGTTGAAGCTCAGGGCCGCACACTTTGTTGTGTGATAGCATGTTGCACTACATAGAAACGTGTGTGTGTGTGTGTGTGTGTGTGTGCTTGTGTTACAAACAGAGATTACTTAAGTTCATTGTTCCAAGTCAAGAATTTTGACACACACAGTCACTGAAAGTGTTGACCGCTGTGGTGACTCCTCTTGTTGCAATAGTTCTCTGCTGTTAGGAAAGATGGAGGACAAAATCCTGAGTCCTCACTTCATGTAAAAATGTGTTGAAGCTAATTGAGGTTTCACCAGTCTGAGACTGATCGGGTGGGTTTGTAAGGCACAGTGTTTCCTCGCTGAGCGGCAGCAGATTGGCAGTAAGACTTTTGTGCTAACATGCCTTAAAGCGATTATCTTAATTTGAAATCCATTCTTCTGAAACATCACATTTAATAGGGAAAACGGAAATTTAAAATGCATTCATGCACAGAACATGGACTGTTCTGTTAAGGGTTAAGAGCTTAATGGGCTGGTTTTTCTGTTTAGGAACTTTACAAATAAAATAAGAATTCCTTGAATTTTGCCCAAGTTGAGGGGCCTATATCTGTTTTTTTTTCTTTTCATCAGAAATGCTCAAATGTTTATTTATTTAGCACAGTTGTGTATGTAAATAATGTCAGATCTGGAGTAATCTGTGTTCTTGCTGCAGAGCGTGTCTTATAGTTCAGTTTTGGTGAACTTTGTCATTCGAATTCACACTAACCACAAAAGACATGGAGAGGAAGATTTGGCTACAGTAACTGGAGGATGCTTTCATAGTTGTATCGCAATATTCACCTTTAGTTATCTGCCAATGAGAGCCTCAGCAGTCTGTGTTTAGATTTATGTATATTTATTACGCTTTTTTTAAAGAAATGAGGATGTTGATGCCAGATGTTGGTGATGAACCATCCTAACAGCACCTGTCTTGTGCTGTGGACCATTAAAAAAGCACTTTGTTACTACTTCCCCCTTTTCAAATGCTTTCATATCACATCATACCGTGTTGAACATTCAGCTGCTCCTGTCACTGGTGTGATTCTCATTCCACTGAAGTCTGTGATTTTTAAAAAGCAGACAGTCCGGTTGAACTGGTAACAAGATTTTCTTTTTGTCTTCCAGTTTATTCTAGTCTGGCTCCACTTGTTACATTTCTGTGTTGTGTTGTTTCGGTGTGAGATAAGGTTGAAGTTTAGATCCTGAATCCTAATGAACATGTGGCAGTGGAGAGGAGGGGGCGATTTGCTGACAAGGATCTCACTGTTGAAGGGAAAAGACCGAGAGGGATCTTGAAGGGGAGGAGGAGAAAAGACAGCGAGAACCAGCGAGCTAAGAACAAAACGAAAACAAGACGAGCGTGACGCAAAGAGAAGCTCTTTCGTAACAAATCCTGCTTTCACGACTTCCCCTTTACCCTATCCTCGCATGTTGTGTTGCTGCAGAGTGATTAAGCATTCAGAACCACAAACATGATGCGAACACATTCAGCTACCTGAACACATCATCATGAGAGACACGTCCTTATTTATAACAACAGCAGAATATGTTGTTTTTGAGTCAGACTTACTGCCAGAACCAGTGACGAATGGCAAAATATTCATGATGGGAGGAGCCTCTTTACACCGGCATGTAACTTTTTTTTTTCATTTTACTCCACCCAAAATCTATTTTTAGCCTCACAAACAATCTTTACCTGTTACAGTCTTTAATAGTTGCCAGTAATTTCACCTTCACAAAAGACCTGCAGCTGTTTTCAGCTTCAGTAATCTCCAGAAAGCTCCCAACAGCAACAAATATTGAATACACATTTGTACCATCTGAGAATCAGCATGACTGATAAGTTACTGGTAGGCAAACCCACATTTAATCTGCATAGCTAAAGTAAATGAGGATATCTATTTTGCTTATTTATTATTGAATACACACTTAATTTATCGCTGCTAAGGTACATGAAATACATTTATTATCTCTCATTTTTTATTATTTTTGCATTTTCTTCTGTCTTGGCTTGAAAAGGCTCTGAATGATGTCATAGAGATTGGCTATCTCTGATGGGAGAGGTGACGATGCCGAGGCCAATTAAAGAGAAGTTTGGCTGTCGTGTTTCTGTAAACACAGTAGCTGGAGAAGTTTGAACAAATTCTGATAAATCTTTGTAGGTGTGTGGAGTCATGTTTGCCATGACTTTATAAAGATTTAAAATATGTCACATTTGACCTCTGATCTTTCCATCAAGGTCAATAGATTGAGCTGAAGGCCAAAGTGATAAATACAGAGACTAGGGGGTGAGTTGAATTTGCTGAAGTTTGTGCTGTCTGAGTGCTTCTTGTTTTAAAATAATAATTTAGTACAGCGGTCCCCAACCTTTTTTGTGCCACGGACCGGTTTATGCCCGACAATATTTTCACGGACCGGCCTTTAAGGTGTCGCGGATAAATACAACAAAATAAAACTAGTACCGGTACTGAAAAAAGAAGATTTATTCATAACACACGTGAAAAGACCCAGGAAAACAGAGTTAACGATAAAAACGATAACAAAATAACGCTGAAAACCGATTTAAAAACCCTGAAAACTATACATTCCACACCCGAGCCTCAACTCTCGCGGCCCGGTACCAAACGACTCACGGACCGGTACCAGTCCGAGGCCCGGGGGTTGGGGACCGCTGATTTAGAACAAAGACGCACAGAGAAAAGAGTAATACACTACAGGAATGTTTGTTTTTGTTTTTTGTGAATTTAAAAAAAAGTGTTTTACTTCATTTAGACGTCAAAATTAATTGACGTTTAGTCCTAGTTTGCAGTGTTGAGTAAAGCAATGCTTCAGGGTGACTCTCAAAAGTTGAGGAAGTACTATCGCTTTAACATCTAAGACAGGTTTCTACACAGGCACTCAACCTAAATGAGCACAATAGCAGGTTACATCAGATCTTGAAACCGTTCAGGCTTTCAAGCTGGATGTTTGTCTCTCTCTGTCACAGCATGGAAAATGGATTCAGGTTCGGGACTAGCTGAAGCAGCACACAAGTCAAAGGTTTATTATCATGTGAACATACTTCACAAACTCACTGTTCTGTATGTTGCCTGTGAAAAAGGACATTTTAATGAAGCATTTGATAAAACGCACAAGCTCAGAAGCTATTTGCTTTGTAAATAACTACTCCCTTATTTTAGCGTTGTGCATGTTAGTGTGGCTGAGCCCCTCCCTCTGAAAGCGTTAGTCTTGCCCACATTTACACAGAGGAAAAAGGAGTGACTTCCCACGCAGCTCTGTAAAGGGGACTGCAAAGCACATTCTGGAGAGTTCAGCTGGAGGTTATACTTTTTTACACCAGGCCGCCTCTCTGAGATGATAAGCTGAGGGGGGGGAAAAATTTTCAAGTAATGAGGTCAGCAAATGACAAATAATGCCTTTGTAAGCTCAGTCTCCAGATTTGTACACACTTGGTTTCACACATCCCTCCCCCCGACACTCTTGCCTCTGTATGATGTCATAGAGGATATCCTTACTATGGTCAGCTAAGTTGTGCCCACAGAAGCTACAAACCTATTTGAACAGTCGTCTTTAAATTAAAGACGACTTATAGGGGAAGGAGCTAAATGATTTGTTAGCCAGTTAACTGGGGGTCTTCACTAAGGCTTAGTGTAAGAAAATCGAGGATTATTTTAAATGGTGAATAATGCAAAGCTACTCAGAATAAAATTTAAAAAAATCTGGAGATGAAAATGGGTGGTAGTTCCACTAAAGTTTGTACTGTGTTAAAGGCTGAGTGTTCAACAGCAATATGAAGTGCTACCGAATGTCCTGACTGCCACCTTAGACCAGTGTTTCTAAAAACTGTGTGATGGCCACTGCAGGTGCCGTAACCATGGTTTTGAGCAGGATTCATGGACTGTAGATATAATAGTTGATGAATCCAGTTACAGGGTTGACTGGTTTCTAATTACGGCAAACGTTGGAAGATGTTTTGGGATCATTTGCTGGTGGTTGGATTTGTGGGGCGACTGCCAGCAGGACAAGATGTGCTTCTCATCCAAATGGCCGCGCACTCAGCCAGCCGGTAGTCTCCATGGAGATGCTACTGTTCACTGGCTCAAAGAAAACATCCCCTCCACACCACTGACTAGACCTTTTTAAGAACTTTCCTCCCATTTGGCTCTGGAATTTAAAGCCTAGAGGCACTTTTTCTTTTTGTCCCTTCTCAGTTTCTGTGTGCATCGTACTGTAATACACAATCTGTCTTTCCGAACACTCCTGCACACATGTACATCTTAGATACCCTAATGACATCATTTTGCCTAGCCACCCTGGACTAACTAGCATGGGCATGTGCTAGTAGATGAAACGCATGTTGTATGTTATTAAAGTTGTGTATTATGGATTTGATAAATGGATATATCCCATATGTATAATATCTATGCTCTGTGGTTTGAAACGTCAGCTTTAAAAAATGTGAGCGTCTGGAAAAGCAGACTGTTCTCCTTTGGTGTGGAACATAACCTGATGATGTTTCTGTTATGCCACAGGTGAAGGATAACTTTAACCGTCAGGACTTCAACAAAATGTGCTGGACGTTGTCGTATAGGAAGAACCTGGAGCAGAATGAGCTGAAGATCTGTAATGATGACGCCTTCAAGATCTGGTGCATCTTCAACTTCCTGTCTGAAGACAGATACCCCCTGATCGTCGTCACTGAGGAGGTCAGAAAACATGGGATGCTGTTGCGTTGTAGTACGCCCTGTTTTTTTTTTTCTTTCTTTTTTTTGTGGCTCTTCCGTCAGTTGGTGTCATAGAGGGTTGGTTAGTCTTAGATTTACTGATTAAATCATTAAATTGAAAAACGTGACATTACTGGGTTTTGTACTTTTGCAGATCCACTTTGAAGTGCTCTTTAGTGCACATATAAGTACCCAAGGCTGTTGATGTGTTGCGTAAATAGATGTTAAATTAAATGTGAATACTTTTAGAAAGCCTTGTGTACATTAAAACAAAAGCACTTTGCAGTTGTTTTACCGCTCCGTCCTACTTGAGATCTCATTCACTGGTATGTGGCTCATGAAGTAAAATGACTTTGACGCCTGTGGTCTGGATGTAAGAAAAGTGACATTAAAAGAAAACAATTCATGTAAACACCAGATGGCTCTAGAAAGGAACAGACAAATTCTGGGTGAGTTCTAGGTGTCGTTTTTTTTGTTCACATCTCCAACTTAACATGGAGTAAAGCAACATCGAAAGAAACTGAAGAAGCTAAATCAGGTTTTGAAAACATTGAGACCACACCAATTGTGTGTAAAGACGCAGCTTTGGGATGCCATCTATGCCACATAATTAGCTTAACCCTGCCTTGGACCCTGCAGTCATAAAACCACAGCACTGACCACAAACGTCTGTGTGAGCTGTCTTTGCATCAAAAGTGCTTCAGAAGCTACACAGTAAGACGCTAACCTGTAAGGATGCCATTGACTAGTGACTCAGGAATCACATTAAGGTTTTGTTTGTTTGTTTGTTTGTTTGTTTGTTTGTTTGTTTGTTGTTGTTTTTTCAAGAGAGACAGTAAACATCTTACATTTTAGACTGGAGCATTTCTTTTCAAAGTGCTTACTAAAAGGGGAAGCACTGGCGTGAACAGCCTTTTATTCATCTGTAGTCTGTTTTATTTGCAGCATATGATATTGTACGTGTCCCTTCACTGTGTCACTTAGTAGCCAGTGGAAAAAGTCCGTTGCTCAAGAGCAGAAAAGGAAGTTTCGAGCTTCCTGTTCTTTTACAAATGCTGGAAGATTTATTGTTGTGTAGGAAAAACATCAGAACTCAAACACAGGAAGATTGTTTGCAAAAGAAATGCACATTTTGCTGCTGCAGTCATGTAAGGATGAATTGTGGGAAAAATGCAGAAATGGTGAAAGTTATCTTTTATTGTAAATGAACAGCTGTGCTTTTGATGAAAAATGACTCTGTGTGTGTGTGTGTGTGTGTGTGTGTGCATGTCTGCATGTACAGATTGAGTACTTCTTGCGTAAGTTGACAGAGGCGATGGGGGGAAGCTGGGTGGAGGAGCGCTTCGAGGACTATAAGCTGCAGCTGAACTCGAAGCAGCAGTGTCTGAATGCATGGGAGCTCATCAGCCTAGTTGGGTCGGGTCACTTCAGTAAGGGCATGGACCATCAGACGCTCTCAATGGGAATCGGTGAAGTCTACCAGGAACTCATTCTCGACGTGCTCAAACAGGTGGGCAGCACATCAGCACAGACTGATGGTACAGTCTTCATCGCAAAGCTCTGTCATCTTACTCTGATTTCAAAGAGTGCCGATGCAGCCTACTGTAATAACTGTGAAGCATATACCACTTTAAATGATAGGAGTCATAGATTTCACACTAAATTAAACAGCACATTTAGCACCTGGCAATGAAAATGTCAAAATCCCTCTAAATGTCTTAGTTCACAGTAGAAAAAAGGCCCCAAAAATGCGGAAGTTTTTCGATATTTCGATTAATTCTGCTAAAAACTAAAACTGTTTTTTTTTTTTTTTTTTTTAAAAAGAAAAAAAAGAAAAACGCTGTTTGGGACCAAGCATTTTGAAAACAATTACAGATTAAATTCTAACCACAAATGCAAATCATTGATTAAAAATGGTGTCAAATAATGAAATTTCAGTTCATAAAGTGTTAATTATTGATGTATAATGAAGCTTGCTGTTAGGAGGATGTGAATGTTATTTAAGCCGCTAAGTATTCTGTCTTACTGCAGGGCTATATGATGAAGAAAGGGCACAAGAGAAAGAACTGGACAGAGCGCTGGTTTGTGCTGAAGCCAAACACAATCTCATACTATGTTGGTGAAGACTTGGCTGAAAAGAAAGGAGACGTCCTGTTGGATGGAAACTGCAGTGTGGAGGCAAGAGCCTGCTGTCTGTAGTAAAACTCTGTTTCAGCTTCCCAGCCTTGATTTCTATGAGAACAGCAGCGGAAGAGAATCTAAACATGTGAAACACAGAGATTAATCCCCTATGCACATAAGAAATAAAAGACCAGAGAACTGTTTAGGAAAAAAGAAGTATGTTATTGTTTTTTGTCTGTGTATTGTCAGCTTGTAAATTCTGTTTTTCTTTGCAGCATTTACAAGATAAAGAGGGAAAGAAGTGCCTCTTTCTCATCAAGTCATCACAAAAAAGCTTTGAAATCAGTGCATCAGACAAGAAGAAGAAGCAGGAGTGGATCCAAGGTGAGTTCTATCGAAGCTGCTCGATAGTAGTTCGATAATAGTTTTCTGCTGTCTGCCTCATTGTTAATAAACAGTAAATTAGTTGTTCACTACTTCTACTGCAAATAAACCTGTTAGTTCGACACAGTTAAAGAAAAACTTTTGTTCTGCTCAAAACACCTGACCTACAAGGTATCCAGGAGCCTGCTGTAGTTGTTCGGATGACTGAACAACTACAGTCCCTAAGGGAGTCTCCAGCCACCCTTTGGAGGAAGCTCATGTCCACTGCTTGTTTCAGCTATCTCTTTTTTTCTCTCTCACTATTCAGTGTAACCTCAGTAACAGCTGAATTTCTCTCTTTATGAGAATACCCAGGACATGTAGCTGCAGGTCTGATGAAATGATTACAGAATCAATCATCGACCTGTGACTTAGGGTGTCCTGGGGCCAAGTGCAAATATGAACATCGTGAATTGTATGTTCAAACACGATGGTCATTATGGACAAGCAAACCATGGCTCAGGTGGTCCCTCCCATTCGCATATCCCCAGATTGTGTTGTCACTAATCTTCTTGACAATTCAAGTTGCCTGAAGGGGACAATGGAGTCCCCGGAAGGGGCACCTTCAGTCATCCCATGCATATACCTAAACCTGACTGCCTGACGATTGCCTTTGAGCAATGGCAACTCCAGAGTGGTAAAGAGCCCAGGCTGTGTATTGAGACAAGCCCAACTATCTCTAGCAGTACTTCCCAACCCCTCACACTGGCTCAGGTGCCTTCCTGCCCAAAGAGGTGATATTCCATGTTCCTAAAGCTAGATTTGTCATCTGTGGTTTGGACAGAGAGGGCATCCAACCATGACTGCGGCCTGATCCACAAAACACCAAACTCTCATATCCCCTACTGTTAGTGGTGGTCCCACAAGAGAGCAAGCCCATGTAGTGCTTTTAGACTGTGCCCAGCCAGACCCCATAGGTTAAAGCTCGGCCTCCTTACTGTGACATTTCTCCCAGGACCAGTTTGCCTTGAGTGATCCTTCCAGGGTTGAATTGCCCCTGACAACATAGCTGCTGGGATCACGCTGGCATGCAAAACTGTCCTCCAGGAAGAAAGTGGCAATTCATAGAGGGGCTTGGAAAAACCAAAACATGAAACGGGAAGCTCTAAAACTAAAGATTTTTTTTGTGTGATATCCATGTCTCAGCTGTTCAGAACTGCGTGACTCTGCTGCGTCAGGGCAGACCAGCGCCGCACCGCGAGGCTCGACAGAAGCGCAGAGAGCTGCGGCTGAAACAGCAGGCTGAACAGGAAGAACTGGAGCTGAGGATGAGGGAGCTACAGATAGCCAATGAGGCCAAGCAGCATGAACTGGAAAATATGAGGAAGGTAGGAGATGAAACTCACACAGTCAATAGTCCCCCGTGGATCCAGTCTGGTCAGAAAAAGTCTGCCTCACTATCACTTCTGTTTCGTAGCATCTCAAAGATGAAAATGAACAGAAGTGAAAGATGCAGAGATTGTCAAAAATATAACAGATAAAATCACAAAAGCAAAGCGGGGGAGGAAAAAACGAGAGACTTAAAGCAGCTCTTGGCCATCTTCACTATGCTGTTTGTATTGAAACAGGGAAGTCGATCTTTGTGGTCATGTGAGACAGAGGTGCATATCTTCATGGGAAAAACTGAATGAGTGTGCATCATTTAGAGACAAAAAGCTATAATAAGTGCAAACTGTACATATAGTACAAGATCAACATGTGATCCTCAGACATTAGAAACACCATGTAAAGTGAAGCCACCGACTTTCATCCTCTGAGCTAAAAATAAAAGTTTATTTTCCTTTGTTAAAATGGAAAAAAAGAAGAGAGAGCTTATCAGATAACAGCCCGACGGTTGGGCAGGCAGTAATAACAGTAATTAAAACAGCCTTTCTCTTGAGAACTTCTTGAAAATAGGAAGTGCACATAAGGGAGATGTGGTTACTGAGGTTATAACGAGAGAAACGTCTGCATATAAGGCTGGAGGTGCATCTGTTGGATCACAGACGAACACCAGGATGTATAAATAAGATTATGAATGGAGCAGAAAAAAACGTCTGTGCATTCTTTAGTGAGCGAGACAAACCTGAGGGATTTCCCTCACTGAAGTTCTGAACTTGTATGTTTGAAAACGGCACTCCTCAAAGCACAGCTCTGCAGTCTCAGATTAAAGAATGAGGAAGGATGGGAGGCATTCCTCTTCCAGCATAAAGTGCACTGGAGCAACTGCACCTCACTGTCGAACTATTCACACAATGTTACAGCACACTGGTGGTTAAAGACCAGCTAATTTGTGTTCTCACATTAATGTCAGAGAAGTCTTAGAAATGTTCAGGGCTCAACTGTAAGTGTGAAGAATTTGCAGTGTTAAAGCTGCAAGCCTGTCCTCCATTTTTCAGACAGTCTCCACAGGAAGGTGCAAACTATGTGGCACTAATTTTGGGAAAGTGCCTAAAGTATCTGAAAACAATGTTCTGCCTGCCTTGCCTTTTATGGAATTCTATTTCTGTCAAAAAACAGCAAATAATTTGTTGCCATTTATGCAAATAGAACTCGACAGCCAAGTGCACAAAGGAGCCATCATGCAGGCGAGCGCGTCTCTGCTTAGCTGTAGCTAATTTATGCTCTTGCAGACGGCTCTGCTGTCGGAGCTGACTTCTGCTTGCTTGCGTCAAACTGACTTTTGAGAGCTTGTGGAGGGGGGAAGCCCAAAGAAAGAAGGCCTCTGATGGGCCTAGCTACTTTCAAAGCAATCACACCTTTAAGCCTCAGTGGATGGTTTTTTTGAGGTTCTTTGGATGTATGGTTTATTTGGTTTGTTTTTATGAGCGATTCGGTCCCTGTACGACCACAGTGAGAAGTTGGTCTGCGTTGCAGGATGTGAGCCCTAGTGGGTGTTGAACTCTGCCAGGGCTGCCCTCTGTAATTGATTACGGTCATCATTTTTTATGAACAGGCATAGCCAAGTGTTGATATACTCCTAGCTTCATCTGTGGTTGCAAACTGTGGGGTAGTGATCAAAAGAACGAGCTTGTGGATACTAGCAAAAACTGGATGGATGGTAATGGAGCTAACAAAATGGTCCAGTCTGGTTACAACTATAACTGTTTTCATAAATCTCTCCCCCCCAGACCATAGACATATACTGGCTATGGTCAGCAGCCTGCCACCTCTCTCTGTGGCCACCCACTGCACTGTGAAGTGATAAAACTAAACGGATAGAGCCGACTGGCACAGATACAGCAACTTAGAAGTACCAAGATGTCTCTAACTATTATGGTATAATGTTGGGATTGCATCTTGCTTAACCAGTGTTGCGAAGGCGGTTTGTGGCCAAGAAGGAACCACAGTTTTCAGTCAGGTATGTCATCACGGCTGTCATTGTCTAAATTAAGTGTCAAAACCAATCCAGCAACATTCCTCTAAGATTGCATCACAACTTAAAATAATCATTCAATAATCATTATCTTGCGCACTTTTAGAAGTGACAGTGTATTTTTGTGTCGCACACTGCAGGGTTACACACGCGTCTCATGCAACTATTTGAAGTAGGTCAACTAAAAACCCTCGTTACCACTGAAACTTGCTGCCAGCTCATGAATGCCAACAATAGACCAGCTCCACCCTGCAGTCTCTGACTAATAAATAGTCCATCACTTCCTGCAAATGAAGGAATGTGGATTGAAAGAGCAATGTGGGGGCAGGGGGTGCAGCAGCCATTAAACATGTTGCTCCAGAAAATCCTCCTGCTAAACCTCACTCTCTCTGCTGCTACCAACACTGCTGATTTCTGCAATTTCATTTGTCTTTTTCAAATGCTGATAATTAGTGGCTGCTCTCTGCTAATTCTGAGAAATAACAGGAAGTGCCATCTTCAATATTGTCGTGGTTAAGTATTTTTCTCATTGCTGTTAGTCATCCGTGAGAAATCTGTTTGTTTGTACTGTCCTTCTGCAATGTGGGCAAATGTTATGAAATAGTCTCTCAACTGTTTGATTTTGTGATTTTTGTTATAGGAAAAAAACATCATTGCAGAGCAGATGGGCTACAAATAATTTAAAAAGGCCTCTTAACTGACTCAAGGGGTCAGATAAATCTTCTGAGAATGGTATTGTTTAGTTAAACTTAAATCACCGCATTGACCACGTATCAGTGGTTAGGTTTTCAGTTCAGTGTAGGACCGGGGGGGGTTGCAGCCAGCATTGTGAGTAAAGCTAAGTTGCAGTCAGCCTGGTTCACGCTGCGCTCGTCTAACAGACTGAAGAACAGGACAAGAGTTCTTTGTCTGGAACAGCGACCTCTAAACTCACAACAATCTACCATTGAGGTGTAAGTGTACAACTCGCATAGTTAGCTTCATGAATTAACAATGAACACAAACATGTGTAGCCACACACAGGCATACAGTAGACATTCTCACACACTGCTGCTATAAGAGGAGCATTGTGACAGTCTGCAGACAGTTCACATCAGGGGTGAAGCAAAAAGAGGTTATTGATCAACCACCAGCACAGTTTAATTTACCCAAATGTTTTTCCCTGTTACGTTCGGTTTTGTCTTGAAACAAACCCACGCTCTACACCAACAGCTGGCAAACTTAAAAATGCGTTTTCATAAATTGTTTGTATATTCTAGTATTGTTGGTGTCACATTCCTCATAGGTCAGTGAGATGCCAAGAGGCCAAAAACAGCTACACACAGTTCGCACAAGACTGTGTTGCCATTAGGGATGGGTATCGTTTAGGTTTTATCCGATACCGGTGCCAAACCGGTACTTTTGAAACGGTGCCGGTGCTTAAACGGTGCTCAAACCGGTGCTTAAAGAATGGAGAACACAAAATTGGTCCAAAAACCTCTCATGTTCAGCTGTTTTTTGTAAAAAGATAACAATGTTAGCCTTTTCTGCAGCTATGGGGCATATATAGTATCACTCTTGGCTGGAAGCAGTGCTTAAACAATGGAAAAAACACAAACTTTGTCCTAAACCTCTCATGTTTACCTGTTTTCCACTTTTTCTTTGGTCATTTTAGCCTTTTTGTCCAGGGTGAAGGGAGTATCTGCCATCAAACAAGAAAACAGCCGCATGTAGCTATGATGATGTTTGCTAGTTCACCTTACTGCATTAATGTAATAACGTGGTTAGCCTACTCAACGTAAATTACACACGAACAACATTAAGCTACTCACGCAGAGAAGAACGGCTGCTGCTGCATCATCATCCGTCATCATTTCTGCTACACTGGCAGGGCTAGGGGCCAGGACTCTCCTCTTCGGGTTCTTGGGGGATGTTGCTAACTCCGGGTCCGATAACAGGCACCACACCCGCAGTAGATGTGCTCGGTGTGAGGTCTCGTAGCAAGCTATCAAATGCGGCGCATTTCTCGGCTTTAAAGAAAAACCGCTATGCGTCGCCAGGTGTTTCATCAGATTCGAGGTGTTACCTCCTTTGACAGTATCACAGTATCAGCTTAAAGCACTTGTTGCAGGCTGCTGAATTTGCATATTTTGCTGTGAAGTACAGCCAGACTTTGACTGCTTCGCCTTGGACATTTTTAATCTGTAGCTCTGCTCTAACAGAACGTACGTACCTGGCCCCGCCTACTATCCTCGGAAACGTAAAATGATTGGCTAGAAGTGTATCACACAGCTCAGGAAAAAAAAGCACCGAAATGTGCGCTGCTTTTCGGTCTGGTTACTACCATTTATGTCAGAACCGGTGCCATGACACCGGTACCCATCCCTAGTTGCCATTTATACGCTTCACAATGTATTTAAATGATTGTAGAACAAAAACAATGGCAGCAATTATAAAAGTTTAACCTTGGAGTATATAGGCTAGGTTGAAGCTTTAAATGTATTTTATTTTAGTTAGTATTATTCTAGCATTTTTGAACCTTTGCTTCTTTTATAAATACAAAAGCTGACCATATAAAGTTTTTAGAGCTGACTTGACTTGAAGAAAGAGTTTCGTTACTCATCCAAGTGACTTCTTCACTCTCAGCTGACTGCAGGTTTCCCCAACCTTATAAACAGGTTTGACTCTCATCATCCACTGGAGCACAAACTGTGACTGTAGCATCCTGATGACATACAGAGGCCAGGGAAGCAGAAGAACATCATATCAAGAAGGTCCTGAGTAAATGTGGTTATCCCAGCCGGACATTTGTCAAAGCTGAGAAGGCGCCAAAAGAACACTCCAGGAGAGAAGGACAACCACTGCCTAAGTGAAAACTCCCACATCTCTGTGGTTTTTAAACCCCAAAACACACTGCACCAAAAATTGGTCCACTCCAAGGATTGGGTCCTGCGACACAAACAGACTGACATAGTGTACGCTGTAAAGTGCCAGGAGGATTGCCAGGATTAAACATCAGGGAAACCAAACAACCTCTGGCTAAGCGGATGGCACAGCACAGAAGAGCTAACTCGTCAGGCCAGGACTCTGCAGTCTATTTACACCTACAGGCCAGTGGACAGTGATGAGGATGTACACATCCTGAACAGGGAGGAACGCTGGTTTGAGTCAAGGAGGCCATTTACGTGAAAAGGGAAAGACCATCTCTGAATCGAGGAGGGGGGGCCTAAGGGTACATCTTTCACCAACTTACAATGCTGTGATTGCAGACATTCCCCGACTCTCTGTGAATGGTACTCGTGGTACCATTCGCACTGATCAGTGGTCTTTGATCAGTGGTCATGACAATCTGCATATTAATGATCAAGAAACCAACCTCCCAGGCCATTGTTCCTTCAGTGGTGCTAGTTTCAGTCAATGTGCAAAGGTACTTTTTATAAGTTTGGGGAAACCTGCAGTCAGCTGAGACTGAAGAAGTCACTTGGATGAATGATGAAACATTTCTCCCACTGAAAACGCTACGTCCAGATGAACAGAATCAACTTTTTGGGATGTTGTCTTTATATATCAGGTAAATTGCAATTATGGTCAATTTCTTCTTGGAACTAAATTTTGATTGCGTTTCGATTACAGCATATGGGGAAGATTTGTCTTTATTTAAAAAAACAAACAAAAAAAAACAAAACCCAGAAATATCAAGTGTTGTTACATCCTGGCAAGATAATGAAATTAGGCAATTTAGTTAAATGGATGGAAATGAAAATGGAGTTAATGAAACTGCTGCTGCTACATTTTGTAATAAATTCTTGAAACAAGCAACAAAACCTGTAGCGTGCACTCAACATTCTCTCTTCTAAATCTAAAAGGAGACTCATGGTGAGAAAGTGCAAATCAAGCCTCGTCACACTTGTTTGCTGGGTGTGTTTCACAAACGGCTAAACTGAATTTCCCTTCATTCACAACCGGCTGTGGCAGATAGCTGCCCCTCCCCGAGGTTGGTGGTGCTGAAAGGTTTCCTCCTATTTTTAAAGGGAGTTTTTCCTTCCCACTGTTGCCCATTACTTGCTGATAGAGGGCCTGGTGATGGTTCTTTCTAATATTGTTGGTATTGTATCCTAGAAAGTGCCATGAGGCAGCTTTTTTTTTTTAAATTGGTGCTATATAAAAATTTTTTGATCTTCATGTTATCATAGCGGGCGATTGTGGCTCAAGAGTTGGGAGTTCGCCTTGTAATCGGAAGGCTGCCGGTTTGAGCCTCCGCTTTGAAAGTCTCAATTTTGATGTAATTTTTCAAGACACTTCACCCGTTGCCGACTGGTGGTGGTCAGAGGGCCCGGTGGCGCCAGTGTCCGGCAGCCTCGCCTCTGTCAGTGCGCCCCAGGGTGGCTGTGGCTACAATGTAGCTTGCCATCACCAGTGTGTGAATGTGTGGGTGGATGACTGGATGCGTAAAGCACTTTGGGGTCCTTAGGGACTAGTAAAAGCGCTATACAAATACAGGCCATTTACCATAGTTTAAAAATGGTCAAATATGATACCAGTATGTGAAGTAACTGGCTAGCATTCTTACCACTGTCTGAAATCCTGATTATTTATCAGCCATAAAATCCTGATGGGTATTGTCATTAACTGGCCTCGCAGGTAGTGTGGACCCCCAACTCTGTGAACGCGATAACGATCGAGAACTAGGCAGTGTAAGATTTTCATGTTGATACCATGTTTGAATCTAATAGGATGCTGAGCGGCAGCACTGGCAGGCAACAGTTTTCACATTTTGTGTTTATATTACTTGTGTTTTAAATTAGCACTGTAGCACCGTGCCATCTCCATTGTGTTGGTCTATTTCAATTGGTTTTTGTTTCTTTGTTATTAAATTGAGATTTTAGCAATCAGCAATAACATGGATCCATAGCAGAGTCGGGGTGCATTGATTAACCATGTAGAGTCTGCAATGACTAGGCTAAGACCGTGTGTGTGTGTGTGTGTGTGTGTGTGTGTGTGTGTGTGTGTGTGTGTGTGTGTGTGACAAAGGCAGTACAGTTGCTGTAACTGTAATGGTTACATCGACCCAGATAAACGTGGAAGGTCATGAGAGAATGACTAGTCATCGTCTTCTTCTTCCTCTTCTTCTTCTTTTACTTTTTTATTTTTTATTTTTTTTTAATAAAAACAAAAAAAAACAACCCCAAAAATAAAATGCAACTGCAATGGTAAAACATTTGTTATTCCAAGAAGTCTGAACTCTGCAGTACAAATGATTTCAGTGTGTATTACTTCATGCTCAATTTGCCTTCATAGAGCGCTGCTGGTGTTACATTTGCATACCTATTCAGAGGCAGCGCATTCATGTCTGTTAGTCTGTTATAAACCACACAACTAAAATTAAACATGCAGCAATCCCCCCCCGACAGGTCTTTGCTGAAACTTCCCCCTCACACCAGTTTCGTTGTTTGTTTTCCTTTTTTCATTCTGTGGTTTTTAAAATAGAGAAACTGCTTTTTAATTTCAAGTTTATTTAAAAGTTATGATGTAGTTCGCCAGTTTCAAAATGGAGCATGAAACTGATGTGCTGCATACTATATATGTGTTACTACTTTTCAGTTCTCATCCTTGGCTAACCTTTTGTCTGCACAGCAGTTTCATAAAACTACTAGATGCTTAAAACAAAGTAAAACTTAATAGATATAATTACCAGGCTTTAGAAGGGAAAATTAAATTAGAAGAGCTACAGTTCTGGTTGGTTTTTAGCCAATCCCTAACCTTTACTGCAAAATCATTTATCTCCTCAACTAGACTTCACTTGGCAATATGTCTCAAAATGATGGCACTTGATGATGAAACTGTATAAATTAAGTATTACAATTACGGCCATTGCTATGAGGACGCCAAAATACAAACAACACGTGCGCTTTAGATGGCTTTTTCTTTGAAAACACTGGACATGTTGCCAGATTGGTATCATTCCCCCCAGTGTGTCGAGTTGGACTGTAGCATGACTCCTTAAGAATGATGACTGATGATTGGTTAAGGTACGAGGAGCGAATCGAAGGTAAAGCCAGTTAATAGTAGGTAACTTTTGCCTTGTGTTATTTTAATTCCAATAAAGGATTAAGTCCACGCTTTATCTTGTTTTATGTCTTTATTATATACCCACAGCACACATTTCAAATTTTCATATATGTAGTTGCTTCTGCAAAAGCAGGAAGAGTGAAGCCCTTTACAGTCTTCAAAATTCCAGGCTTTTGTTTTTATTTTGTTTTTTTGGCTGTTTTACGACTCTAGGACTTTAATTTATTGAGAAGTGTAGCTTTTCTAAGCCCTGACTATATCCCTGACTAGAGTGTGATATTTTAGTGTATGTAAAAGTAACACCACCAAACAGTCTCTTTAACCTGACACTACAAGGGTGTGAAATGTGTGATTTCACATACTGCTTTAGTCCACTCTGCAAAAAAAGGAAAATTAAAAAATGTCATTTTTGGCTTGTCTGTTGCTCTTTTGGCAGGCTCTGGAGGAGGCAGCAGCTAACGCAGCAGAAGAAGAAAAAAGACGCCTTCAGACCCAAACTGAGCTCCAGGACCGTTACAGGAGGGACCTGGAGAGAGAGAAACTGGTCTGTCAATCCTTTTCATCTGCATGTAATGTCTATAACGTACAGTCGAGCATAGTGGTGCCAGTTGGACTTAATATCATACATGGATGTTTCCTCTGCACCATTACCACAAACCTCTGAATACTCTGCCTGACAACATCTTAATATTGTTGCGCTACACTTCATTAAGTACACTCTAGTACTGGATCTTCTGATTAAAATGCCAATTTAGAGTTATTTACTTTAATTCCTGAACAGAAAAAACAATTTTAGTGGTTTAGTGGTTCCTACTTCCTACTGTTTAAGTTAATTCTGCATCTCCTCGCTGTATCTCTGCATAATTTCCGTGATGGCTGTTCATCAGTGCAATTCCACAGTTATCTGAGATATGTATTGAAACATCAGTAGTAGATATGTGCAAATGTCATCAATGGGGGGCCTCCATAGATGAAGTGCCACATTAAAATGACAGCAATATTAGCACTGCACACTCCTTGTGTAGTCTTAAGTACTATTACAGATAAAACCAAAAATAAGCAAAGTCAAACACTACCAGGTCCTGAGTTAGACCCCACCATCTGGCCGGGGCCTTTCTGGGTGGAGTTTGCATGTTTCCCCCTGTGCTTGTGCGGGTTCTGTGAGTGCGAATGGTTGTCTGTCTCTCTGTGTTAGCCGTGAGACAGACTGTGACTAGACCTGTCCAGGGTGTACCTCAACTCTCACCCCATAGTAGCTGGAATAGACTCCAGCCCCCCGTGACATGGATGGATGGATGGGTGTGGGGGGCACCAGACTGGTCAATTACTGCACTTGCTTTATATTCAGGGACATTAATCCTCAATTATCAGGCTGCAAATATATTCATAATAATGCCTTTTATTTGAGGGCACCTTTCAGAAACCCAAGGTCACCTTACAAGGAACAAAATGAATAAAAGGAACAATATATCACTGTATTATTGAGAGCATGCAATAATGGGTAAGTCGGAACAATTTTCATGCAACATTGTTTTGCTATGACATAATTCATCCATTTCAATTTGACATAAACCTGTTAAATACATAAACTGAGAAGAGCTACTAAAATAAACACAAAACAGAAAAGTACTGCAGAGTCTTGAGCAGCAATTTGGAGAGACTTGAATGGATGTTGTTTGTTGCCTCACATTTAAGAACATAGTGTGTGGTTAAGAAGTGTCTATGAGGCTCAGCTAACACTGATGGCGTTTTCTTTCTTACTCACAAACACTTGTTTGTAAAAGAGCCCCGTTTCACTGTGCTCGAATGCCACTGATAACATCTTGACATGCTTGCTACACAGCATGGATGTGGTGAAATGGCAGAGAGATGTTTAACTGTGGTTCTTTAGTCACAGTTCTGCTCTCGGATGTCCCACTTAGTTGATCCTAAGAGACGGCGTAATTTTGATTTGTATTTCTTACTTAATCTTATACATCATTAATATGTTACTCGGTTTAAGTTGGTTGTAACAGCACTTCGCTTAACTCTACTTTCTCTCACACTCGTCCACACCAGCTGAGCTACCCACTGAGAATAGCATGAGGTTTTTAGTGTTTGCTCAAGATCATCTCCACTAATGAGTTAAAACTCATTCTGCTGATCAATCCTGATGGCCCATTGATCAGTTGATTATTGATCAGTTGATTAAGATTGTGTGTGCTAATTCATAAACTTCTGATCCCAGAGGTGTTATATGAAGCAGTGTTAATGCTAATAAGTATGTTATACTTCTTCCTACTCCATTTCAGACTTAATAATTGTAATTTCATGTCATTTAGACTCTATTTTATTTATTTTACTTTTTTGTTTTGTCTGCGCACATACATGTGTGTATTTACATATAT